AGGGTTTAGGTATATTAACCGATAAAAATGGAGGTTCGCACTTTAACACTGTTTTGACGAATGAAATTTAAACTAAAAAAAAGTTAAAAATAATACTTATCTCAAAAGTGACTTGAAGTCGGGCGCACATCATTTAATTAATAACCTATAGAAAACCTCCGCTCCACTTTAATAGAATTTTCTTGAATAATTCGCTTTTGAGATGAGTATTATTTTTCACTTTCTTAAGTTTTTGACCTAATAACATAACAGTACCTAATTAAAATGGTAATAACTTAAAAGATTTGTTGATTTTAACAAGAATTAACTTGGATAAAAAAATATAATATTTTTATTCACACCGTACACAGATATCTTACATTTTTAGGTGAATTAAAAAAGGATGAACTAGGAATACTGATGGGATGAATAAGGAATCTAAAATGAATTAAATTGTTACGAGTTGAGTAAAGAACATAAATAAGATTTGTAAAGAAAAAATAATCCGTAGGATAAGACGTCATAGGATGAATACGGAATATTATTGAGAAGAAAACTATCCCTTCAAGTATTTGGAATACGTACCTAATGTAGCTTAGAGTCTTGTGTTACATACATCGATTGGGCTTATAATGTTAAGTAATGTGTGCTCCACGAGCTCCGTGTTCAAATGACTTTCATTGTATTATGCAAATTTCGTATGCAAATATTATTTAGATGGTAATGTTTTGTATGAATTGAAAAGAGACATTTGGTATAATTCCATGCACTGGGCAATCCGCATTGGCACACTTGTTCGATATTAAATGTTCATGCCACTTTCACTGTTCACTACACTTGCCAATCCTTTCACTTTTACCGAAATCAGATAAGTCAAGTGCATGATTAATTGATTATTTTTTAACTGTCTTCATTTGTAAAGGACTTATATGAGAGGCAGTTGAAAGCTGACAACACGCTTTTAATATGCTATACTTGACATCAAAATCAATAACTTGTATTTAAATCTGTTTTGAGGTAGAAACATAGGGTCCATCATCAGCCTTTTTTTATAACACAGGGGATATGCACCTTAAGGGTGTCAGGGGAAATTCAATTTTTTTTTATAGATAAGCAGAAAGAGTTAAAAATAATGTATAGATTTCACGGAGAAATTTAAAAATGAAGCTCTACATAGAAAAGTGGGAAAAACCAACGTAGGACTTTGGGAAATTTAACTGGATGATGTTGTTAAACATTCCTCAAGGAAATTAACATCGAAATCGATGACACAAAGCTGATTTACGAATGGACAAACTTAAAGGCTTATAGCATGAACTTTACTGACGGCGATAAGCTATTAAACTCAAACCAGCTGTGGCTGAATATTAAAACTTCTAACGCCCCTTTATACTCTGAACTTGTCGAAATCGCAGAGTAATATTTTTGTATGGCGGCTCACAATGCAAATGTAAAGAGAATCACGCAACCTAGCAATGAACGAAAGAAAGAAACAAGCTAAACATACACACAGTTTCTTCTCTGAACAAAATCAAGTATAATTTCAAGGATCTGAGTTGTTCCGACTTTTACAAATTCTTGTTGGAAATAAAGATATTTAAGCGAAAATCGTTAGTACTGAGAAATACCAAATTAAGTAAAAAAATATTGATCACGTTAAAATATATTTTTCTTGCTGTTTGAATGTCTTTAAAAATAAGGTAAAAGAGCATTACTTATCTGTCACTTTCTGAACATTAAATGAGGCTATTGTATATTTATTATATATTTATATATGTATGTGTGTATAATGGAAATTTTTTATTTCAACTCTGTAGGACACCATTGACTACCCATCTTTTTTATGTAACTGTCCAGTCTAACTTTTGGTTGCCTGGAAGATATTGCTTTTTACCGATAAGGCCGCCAATTGTACTGTTTATTGTTATTAATTGTTATGTTGATTTTATTTTCAAGTACAATAAATTGTTCATTCATTCATTCATTACTTAAGTATTTGTAATTAAAATCAATAAATATTATAGGGATAAGGCTACCTAACTAGATGATTGAAAACATCATTGGCGTAGTTTACTTTAAAATTATAAAGTTTTATAGTTAATAATTATTTCGGTTACCTTATAACCTCAGAATAATTATTAATAATTTTAATAACAAGCTGTATAAATGAGTAAAATTATAACGATGTTTTTATTTTTGTTGCATAAACACTTTTTAGAGGTGTCCTGGGGAAAGACCTTTTTTCGTTTTATGTCGCGTTGATCTGACGTCAGCAATTAAGAGGTGATGGCAGCTCTATCCAGGGCCCTAATTGATTAGATCTTAAGATCTATTGCAATCCCTTTCAATTTGACATTTGTAAGATATTCACGAACTTAACTGATATTGTATTTACGTTAGTTGGAATTGTTTTAGGCAATCATTAGATGAAAGTGTACATAATTCCATAAATTTCTAACACAATCGAAACCAACAACAACAACAACAAACAACAACAAACAACAACACCAACAACCCTTTGAAAGGGGTTGCAATAGATTTTTTAAATTAGACAATTGGGCCGCATTATAAACATAACAGAATATCAAAACCAAAGACTTCTATGTTGGTACTACAAGTCTGATTAAAACAACATATTAGAGCTATATTTATTCCGTTTTACTTTACTATCTACAGACAGACCCACAAGATACGTGATCAAATATGTTCGCAGATACGAGGATGACGTTATGATAATGTGATAACGAGTTAACATGTTTCGTGAGAAATCTACTTTTATTTGATATAAAAACTTTTACCAAAATATATATATAACATACTAATTGTGACTTTTATAACCTGCACTTTCGCACAGTCACACAATTATTGGATAATTTTATTTTTAAACAAGCGTTGTAAAAATAATAATTACCCGAATTTGATTTTATTGCTATTTATTATTTAGTATAGCATAGTGATAGCATTATGGACCAGATATAATAACTAGATTATAACTTTGAATACGTTAAGATATAACTAATGTGACTCACGTATGTACTTCATCACCACCATCACCAGCCCTTTTACGTCCCCACTGCAGGGGCTCAGGCCTTCCTTATGGATGGTTAAGGAGGATGGGCCATGACCCTCCATGCTGGCCTAATGCGGATTGGAGGGTATTAACGACTGCAAATGCAGCCGGGACCAACGGCTTAACGTGCCTTCCGAAGCACGGAGTAGCTCGAGATAATCATGTTTTGGTCACCCATCCCGTGACCGACCCTTGCGAAAGTCGCTTAACGACAACGATCGCAGGCCGCGGCGCTTATCCACTGCGCCACTGAGTTACTTATGTACTTGCGCAGGTTAAATGTAACGCGGCAAATGTCAACCAATCGGATTGATTCAAATATCACGCCATATCGGGTGATCCACCAATATCAACGAGCCTACCCTGCGATCCTGTAAAAATCCAGATCCGAATTAGAATTCCCTCATGTGTCTGAATTCACGTCATTTAGTGTAGAAATTCGATCGATACCATCTTTTGTATAAAAATACAAAACAACATTGATATACGTATCTCAGATATTCTATACTGTGTCATTTCGAAACTCACTTCACTTGTGCCACGAAACGTTATTAAAAATTCAAGTTTGAGTGGATGCCGCTTTTTTAAGTGAATTTTTACACCTGAATGAAATTCGAAATTGGGTTTGAATTTTTACATAATCGCAGGGAAATCTGAACACATTGCAAGTTAGACGAATACTGAATGCGGTGTATTTTACATCTTATGGCTATCGAAACAAGTCTCATTATATATTTTAATCGGTTGATCATTGTCGGAATTGGTAGATCTACACTGTGGAACCGAAGACTCGCCATTCGCCACTAGTTGAAACCATGGTTGGAACTTTAAAAGCTAAAGTGTATTAGATAAGATAATTCTTTCTAAGCATTCTTGTTATTTTCCAATAATTAACAAATATATCAATTAAACTCTGATATTGAGGACGGTCGTTAGTCTATCTATGTATGTTAACGCCAGCTAGCGATAGTTTTATAATGGTATTTTACTGTATGGTGATAGCATAAGTCAATACTTACTGATTGGCTTATGATAGAAAACGCTTTGTTTTGACTTGTCAATGTATCATGTAGGCCCTGAGTGTAGACAGAGTTACAATGGTTTAGAGTCGGTGCAAATCTGACGGAAGATCCGTCAAACATTCGCAGAAGTATGCGTTAGTTTACGACACTCACATTTTCGACGTGACGTTCCGCGACCGACAAAATACGGTACATAGATCGATACGTCATACATTATTTCTCAAATATTATTGGACTATTTTTATATAAAATAAAAAAAATGTCAGCTAGCCTATTATCAAGAGTTATTGTGATAATTCATTCGCTTGTATGCCTTTTAAATTGATATTAATTTAAGTTTTTAATTGTAACGTTTCAATCGAGTACCCACTCAATCAATATTTGGCGGAGAGCTTCAACAACGCTTTTTTTTTTCAAAAAAGCTTGTGAGGCTTCTGTGGTTCGATTTCTTTGATATCCGATTAAATCAAAATGCACTTAACGTTCAATACAGGTTGAGTGCATTTTGATTCAATTCGACTTCAAAGAAATCGATGTAAGTTCGTGGTAGTCCTGCTGATATTGCGCCAATTTTATGCTGATAGAATTTCTGTAAATTATAAATTGAAATTGGAAAAAAATCGAAGGTCGTTGGGATTAACCTTAAATAAAAATTTAACTGGCTCATAGAATGTAACTATAAATAGTCATGTGCCTGTCCCATATGATTCAATGAATGATTTCTTATTCCACACTTGAGAATGTTTCCAACCGTACCTTTATCTCAATAAGATGTTTATCAATATATCGTTTTGTAACTGACATGATTCACACAGACGACAATAGTCGAAAATCAACAATATTGTTTTTCGAATTGTTCCCGAAGATGTATATAGAAGCTATTGTATAGTTCCATAATATAAACAGTACTTGTGTATTTGTTTTTTCAGTAATTAAAGTGTTGAAGATGATGCTGGCTGTAAATGAGTTCTTAGATGACCTCCGGTGAGTTTGGATGTCGATGTATTAATAAAACAATAACCGTCTAACCCAAGAAGTTTAGTTATTCGCCTAAGCGAACTATAGTGCTATTCTGTTATAAATGCTAGCGCTGTCATAGCATAAAGGTTTAATCAAGTAAATAATACCTCCAAATTCAAAATTATAATATTTTTGTTATTGCTTCTTTACGTGTAAATGCCACCAAAACGTGATGTTGTAAACGCAAATAAGTCAGAAATTAAAAAATAAAAAGAGATAAACCCTATTTCAAAATGCAATATGATTTTAATTTCGTTAAGGTTGGATGACGTAATAGCGCTGCGCTTGACAACGAATTCAAGGCGATTTTTTAACAGAATAGCATAGCCGATAGACTAACATTGTAACTAATACCGATATTTCAAACTAATTACAGTTTACGTAACCTATTTAGTTTTTATAGTGATTTCAAGTGAATCCCTTACAAGGCCTATTTTATAATATGTGTGGTACTTTGAATATCTCGCTAGACAGGGAAACAGTCTAGAGTTAAATGTAACAAGACAATAAAAGATTTCGACGTCTTCATCCAGAATTGTGGTTCTGCTGAAATACCTATAAAATATTTACTCTAAGTCTAGTGACCTACGCTTAGGTTTTAACTCGTGTAAATATTGATAATTCAATTGACTATGAATGATATAGGTTTAAGCTGTTCTACTGACAGCTGATAAGTTTCTTGCGTCCATCTTTCTTGTCAATCAAAAGACGTCCTGATCCTGAATGATGATGGTAGAAAAAAAATGTTAGACTTTTCAAAATTTACTTCAAAAGGCTTGTAATGAACATTTGGAATTTCCTTTTTTTTATAAATTCTTTCACTTACGGGAAGCTGCATCATACGCGTGTGACATAGGTTATAATTTACGCGGGCGAAGTCGCGGGAAAACAGAAACTATACTTATAAATCTGGACCTGAAAAGCATTAGGTCGGATGTATAAAAACAGAAATAGCTAAATGCAATCAAAATATTTGAAAAAGTCGTCTGATCCGACTTTATGCATGACTGTTGCTCATGAGTAAAAAGGCACAAACATACAAGAGTTAATTTGCCGGAAAGAGAAAAAAGAGTGTAGCAACGTTATGGCGATAAGTGATTTTAGCTGGTTCTGCACATCCGACCTAATGCTTTTCAGGTCCAGAAATATACCACAGCAAATTAGACCAGCACGCGTAGCATGACGAACTCGAGAACGTTTTGTCTACATTCAAATGTCACTTTTCTCGGGTGCGCCCATACGCTATCACACTCTCGACCCGACAAACCGACAAGTGAGTGTAGACAAAGCGATTCTCGAGTTTGTCATGCTACACGTGCTGGGGCGCGACCGCTCAACTCATTGACGTAGCCGTAGTCGTAACTATAACCTACGCTTTATCGATATTTCTTATGAATCTGTTTATATTCTTTGAAAATTAATGTTTTTTTTTTTAAATATATATTTTATCAAAAATTTTGGTTTGTTTTTCTTTTCGCAATAGCATTCTTAGTATCAATTAGACATTTTGTAAATTTCGTTTACAAAATGTCGAATTGGGCCAGCAATCTGCATTGGGCCAGCGTGGAGGGTCATGGCCCATCCTCCTTAACCATCCATAAGGAAGGCCTGAGCCCCTGCAGTGGGGACGTAAAAGGGCTGGTGAAGAAGAAGTTTAAGTTTAATAATTCAGCAAACAAAAACAACTAAAAGCTTTGATTAAATATGTAAATAATAAAAAATTATTAATTTTAAAACAATATCAACAGATTCATGTGTAAAACCTATAAAGCGTTGGTTATAGCTACGACTTCGGCACAGTATAAGAATGACACAGTATAGAAACTAAGCCTATTTGATAAAATAAATACCTACGCTCCATTGAAACCATAGGGTTGTCATTTTGAATGTTTTTGAAGTCGGTTAAAAATCGATTAATCTCAGCCAAAGACGATAGTTTAACATACGAGAAATATTTTAATATTGACACAACTTGTAAATCTTTGTTTTTATGTTGATCTTTAACTTGACATTACGGCATAACCTTGTACAAGTTTTTGACGAACACATAGCCGAAGAGCGCACGAAACGTCCAACGTTTCGTCCTCTCTTCGGATCGGACGCGTGGTAGGTGGGCACTGCATTTAGGTGGCGCGCTCATGAACGGCTGCTTTTGGATGTTTATCAAGCATTTTCGGGTGGGACCTTACTACGTTCCTTCATTTTTTAAATAAAAACGATCGCGGAACGTGTAACATGACTCTTCATCTCGACGCGATACGCGTTACTGAGCGTCCTGTTAGGTCCACTTAGGCGACTCGTCGGTGAGCGTGTTTATGTGTGCGTGCGATTTTGAACACTTGTAGGCAGTTTCACCACTGTCTACTTATATTTACACTGTGACTTCGGCTACGTTCCTGAGTTAGGTGGTGGCGACCCTGAGCTGAAAATGTAATATCGTTCAGTGACATGTTAGCTATTATCTAAACACCCGTAAAGTTCTGACTCATTGAGCTCGCCCTGCTCAACAACGTGTTTAAGTTAATTTTAAAACGGTGCTTTAAATATATTGGGGCATTAATTATAGGAACGTTTGCCTATTTTAAGTTATATTTTTTTAACGAAAAAACATTTTCGCACAAATAATGATATATATAACGTTATAGTTTCTTTATAGGTTGCCATAGGTATGCGACTCTCTTTCGTTTGTTTTTTTGAGATGCTCAATTAGTATTTAACAATTTTATTGTTATACTTATTTGATTCTATTTTTAATTTATTTATTTATCAAGAGAAACAAACAGCCATTGATGTCGCACATGAACAATGAATTAAATTGGTTTTTCATTAGCCAAAAAACAGATTCGAACACGTGACATATACATGCCCTTAAGGCGAGATTATGCGATATTACCACTTTGTAATCCAATTTTATTCTAAGACTGTGCTAATGTTTGCCAAAAAAAAAACATTTTATGAAAAATAAACATATAATCGGCGGGCTCAATAGAAAAAAATCCCATAAATGACTGTAAATAGATTTTTTGGATCGATATTACGACTATAATATTATTTCTTAAAAAAAAACTACAATATATTATAGGAACAAGAAACAATAATATCGGTGTTTTAAAACTCCGTTTCGTTTTTATACAATAAAAAAAAATACAATAAAAAAGGAGTTTTATAACACAAAACAGTTTTGTTTTGGCTTTAGTATAATTAACAGAACAAAATTAATATGCTATACAGCATTACGCTGAAAACAAAGAACAGATTTTCAAAGAGAAAATAATTAGTTCAATTTCATATTTATGTTAACATTTTTACCAACAATAATTTCTTAATACATGTATAAGTAATTTTGCTATAACGTCAATATAACATAGTATTTTTGCCTGTGAATGTTTCTTTAAGTGACTATGAATATAGCGTACCTAATAACCTCGTCATTCACTTTGATAAATATGTTCTATAATGTCACGTGGTCTAAGCTAACCCAACCTAATTACGTTGTTTAAATGAGGTAGAAGATATTTTGGCAGGTTAGTATATGTTTCTAAGAATCGCGGTGTTGAGTTTTTTCAAAATGACAAAATATAAAGCGTCATATTTAAAGTTGCATTGCCACCAAAAAACTTAAATATTCGACGCAAATCTGACGGAAGATCCGTCACGGTCAAGCGCTCACGGATTATGCGTTAGTACGTAACGGATTATACTTCTAATGTGTGTAAAGTCAAAAGGTTGTCATACCAAATATTTATTAGTTCCGCTCATGTACCGTGCTTTCCTTCTTATCTTTTAAGGGCTGCTTTGCGTCAACCACAATTGGGATGACGAGTGGTTAAAAAAAAACTATTTAGTCAGTCAGATAATAGAAAAATATTAGATACTTATTTTTTTTTACTTCGTTTTAACAAGAAATGGCTTAGATAACAGGCATTAAAGTTGAGGGGTGGGGGCTCGTTACGTCACAGTTTTGTAGAAAATGTACTAAAGCGTGACATTTCACTTCATTGTAACGCCGTAATTTATTGATTACGCAAAAAATCATCATCATCAGCCCTTTTACGTCCCCACTGCAGGGGCTCAGGCCTTCCTTATGGATGGTTAAGGAGGATGGGCCATGACCCTCCACGCTGGCCCAATGCGGGTTGGAGGATATTAACGACTGCAAATGCAGCCGGGACCAACGGCTAAACGTGCCTTCCGAAGGACGGAGTAGCTCGAGATAATAATGTATTGGTTACCCATCCCGTGACCGACCCTTGCGAAAGTTGCTGAACGACTTTCGATCAACGATCGCGGGCCGCGGCGCTTATCCACTACGCCACCGAGCTACTCTATCAAAAAATAAGTATTTAATATTCTTTAATAATCTACCTAACGGACAAACAAACAAGACTAATTCTTCACCCCTATTCTCCCAACTTCACGTATTACAACGATATTAGTAAATACATTCAATCAAAGAGTTTCGAAGACGATATGCGACACATCTTCCGTCAAACATATGTCAACCTTAATAGTTCAGATTGTTGTTTTCTATTTCGAAAGAAATTCGCCGATTTTAAGCTCAGTTCAGTTTTCAATTGCAGAGTTCACAATTTTCAGTAGGGAAGGCATAAATATCATCCATATTTTTCAGGAATATTTCAATATGTGCCATGGGTAGGTACTACGTAAACTCGGTCACGTTTCACTGTCACTAGATCCGATACGCTTCAGTGAGATTTTTATGCGCGTAATATTATAGAATAAACGTAAATCCAATATTGGAATATTGAAATAGATTTATGAAGGTAAATGTAACGTCCGGAATGTTGGACGAGATGGTTGGTAAAAATTGTTGGACGAATTAAAAAAAGCGCTTATATCGATCTTATTTAAATCAATAATATTTTTATTATAAATTAATATTAAATAGTAACCCTTAGCTATTATTGACTAGGCTTTACACAAAAGAAATGACACTGAGAAAC